AATTAAGATTTAAATATTTTAACTGTTTTCTAACAGTTTTAATGAAAATTTTATGTTTTATAGAGATAGAGAAAACAGAAGCTATGCGTAAACCAATGAGAGAATCAAAATATGTGGACATTTATCGTGAAAAGCCTGTTCGTGTCTCTGTGAAAGTTTTGATACCTGTTCGCGAACATCCCAAAGTGAGCAGTATTATTTATTTGCTACAGCAATCTAAATTACAATGGATTTGAAATAAATTTAAATTATATAATTTTTGTTATAGTTTAATTTGTTGGAAAATTACTTGGTCCAAAAGGCAATTCCATGAAAACGTCTACAGGAAGAAACAATGTGCAAGATGGCAGTGTTAGGTAGAGGATCAATGAAAGATAAACAAAAAGTAAGTGACAAAGAAGAAGTTTTATTTTTCTTTTCAATTTGTCCTGAAAAATATTGGCTTATATCTTTTGGATGGATTTAATTCAGGAAGAAGAGCTTCGTTCTTCCTTAAATTTGAAATACGCGCATCTTCCGATGATCTACATGTGGAAACTACGGCTATAGCTTCTCCAGCAGAAGCTTACGCTCGCATTGCCTTCGCACTAGCCGAAGTACGAAAATATTTGATTCCTGATAACAATGATAATATACGTCAAGAACAAATGCGCGAAATGGAAATGAACATGTCCGACGATCCTGTCTCGAATGATCGTAGACCTTCGATGAGAGGACCTTCGAATATTGGCGTCGGAAACAGGCAAGCTGGAAGACAAGCATTACCTAGAACGTCTAGAGGTTGGTTGCAAAGTTATTAAAAAAAAAAAAAACTTATTTTCAAAATGGATTGCAGTTTATCTTATTCTTGTTTATTCACAAACTTTCATTCAACTTTTCATTCAACTTTTTGTAAAAAATCGAGGCATGGAATGAAGGTCGGAATCAAATCTCGCTGGCTACGAATCGAGCGCTCTCGTACAGAGCTGTGCATGTTATTAAAATATCTTCACAACGATGTATGGAAGTATGCAAGAAACATGATCGAAGACATAATAGATTTTTGATATCGCGATAAAAGTATTTAAATTTCTTATATTAAATTTTTTTGTTCTTAAATTGCTAAATTTTTTAGCTATACTTCCCCCACCTGTGAATCGTGGACCGCCCGGTGCTCGACCAGCACCGTCCAAATCTAAAGTGTTTTCAATTCTAGATCGTGCGAGGGCTGCTATGGATCAAGGTTATAAGTGAGTTTATGCTGTAAATACAATATAACAAAATACATTGATTACATATTAGATAAAATATTAATATATTCTGCTTATAGCTATGAAACTCAGACTTCTGCACCAACAAACCGGTCTGGATCACATCATGATTACGATTATCATGGATCATCAGGTAGCAATGCTCGGTACGGCGATCGTCATTATACATCAAATTCTGGGTATGTATTATTATATAAGGATAAAAGTATGGTCGGGAATAATGCAAAATTTGAAAAGTAGATTCTCTAATATATGCATTAAAATTTTAATCTATCTATAATATAAAATTTGATAGTGTAATTGCAAAAATTTCATTATATTATAAAAACGCAATTTTTATTTTATATAATCTCGTTATTAATATTTATTATGTTATGGAATTCATATCTATTTAACAAAAATGACATGTATCTTTATTTTCAAGATATACGACTTATGAATACGACGATGATTCTGCACCACATTCTTCACGAGATTATTATGAATCTTCGGATTATCCAGGTAAGTTATTATTATTTGTATATTTTTTAATTATTAAATTAAATTCCTTATAAAACAATTTTTTATAAATTTGTAATTAATAAAACAAAAAGATGTTATATCATTAAATTGTGTATTTACATGAGTTTGCAAATTCGTCTCTAAATGATGTAAATCCTTTATTATGCTTACGCAGGGTTTATGATAACATAATAATTTTATAATAAATTTTGTAATATAAATATAAATAAACTTGACTATAAATAGACTTGAGAAATTACTTATATTTATAATTATTGCTATAAACTGAAGCTATTATAGTTATTGTACAACATTAATAATACAATACATAATGTTCACATATGTAAAATAAGAACATTGAAAGCTTCTATAGGAATGCATTAAATGCACTAAAACTGTATAATTGTAAATTACATATTTAATTCTGTTATAAAAGAAATAACTTTTTAGATTAATAATTTTAAACATTTTATCAGAGATTGAAAATTTATTTTTAGCCTCTAATACATATTTAACGGATAAATCAATAACAAATAACATTTTTGTAATTTCGAATTGATTAATAATATTAAAGAAATTTTATAATATTTAATAGAAATTTTATTATAATATAGTATATTTTAAATAAAAACTTTTAGAAGACACAAACTTCATAGAATATTTATTTTATAGAAATTAATTTTAATGCAATTTTTAATAAATTTTGCCTTATGTTTAAATCAGTTTAGATTATGCGCGTAAAAAAAGAATTACATAGATATAATAATAACAGATAATACATAATAATTTATATTGATTCTCCAATTTATGAATCGTGCAATTCCAATTGAAGCATCAAAAAAAGCGTAACTTAAGTTCGGTATAACAATAAAACCAATTTAAACCCTGCCGTAAACCATAACGAAACTGCATGTCATTCATATCGCATTGATGACTTTGAAAATTTAAGTGTCTTACTATAGAAAGAATTGCCATCGTGTTCTACCTAAATGAAAAATAATTAAAGCGCAATGAATCCATATAATTCGCAGAGGAGTCATCGAGCCGCGCTTGGAAATCTTACAAGACTACAACAACTTCAGGTGCAGCCTCGCGTTATCGCACCACCCCATATACACGACCTTCCAAGTAAACACCTATAAAAAATCATCCATTATTTTTTTTATCACGCTTATCCATATTCCTCTAAATGTATTTTTTTTTTTGACATTATTATTTCATAGCGTTATTAATCCATTGGCGGTTAATCTTCCTAATGTACGGCGGCCTATGATGCCCACTATGCAGAAATCAATAAACGAAAGAAATCGTCTTTAATCGATCGACAGCATAAAGGCTAATACGGTAATGATGAGCAAATCTTGTTATTCTTGATGATATTAAACATACAGTAATCAAAATCAAAATTTCTAATCGGAATATTTATTTATTCAAGCTTTTCTCTTGTAAAAAGACTAATATACTTTTAATATAAGATAATTAATATAAGGGACTTATACGTTCTCTCTATCTCCGTATTTCTCAGATCTATAAATACTTTTTTATTTTCATTTTTTTTTATAATGGATTCAATAATTTTCAGATTTTTTTCCGCGGACATTGGATAAACAGGAACATATAAACAAATTCGCAATTAAAATATATCCATAAAATTGCCAGCATTAGCCAGCGAATATAAAATTCATCATTATATCATTTTCGATCACAAGCGCGATACAACTTTATTCCCTTGACAATTCTCAATTGCTTCATAATTTTAATTCAAAATAAAACTTAATTTTATATAAAACTATTTCCGTTCCTTCAATCCTTTTCCTAAAATTTTGGACTACAGATGGATTTAATTATTGACAAGAAGTAAAGGACCAAGAGGATCGATGGAATAAAATAATTAAAATATTTGAATAAGTGATTAAAAAAATATTACATAAAATAAAACGAGAATTATATGAAGTTTGTAATCGTATACTCTAACATATTATATATACGAATTAAGTGCGAATTAGAGGCTAAATAATATAATTATTTCTCTTTTGTACTTAATATTTTTTATGATTTAAAAATATGATAAAATATGATAAAAAACAAAAATCTAATGTTTAATCTTCTGACTCTCTATCAAATTATGTATTAATATCCATTTTTCAATCATCAGAGCAATATAACTCACATGTGTATTAAGATAATTGAAATATTAATAACACAATATTGCATTGTAAATAAAATCATACGATTTAAATTACATGCAATGCAAATTAAAACTTATAAATGGATAACATAATGATCGTATGAGTATTATAATATGATATATTATTTATCTAATATGCACAGCCTCTATCCATTAAAGTTAAAATGCATAATATCTAGCTGTATAAAAAAATATATAGAACAGTGCAGAATTATATATGTATACATATATAATTCTATATGTTATTATATATGTATTACATATATAATTATATATACATATATAAATCCAATAATTTGTGGATATAATTAAAAGTTGTGTAGACTGTTATTCATAAATCTGTTATTAAAATAGTAATATGTAATCTGTAATCTTCAAAAATTGAAATAAATATGAAATAATAATATGAAATATTTTGTTTTGAAAACCGAAATAAATTTCCTAACCAGTGATAAAGCTAAGATTTTAATAAGATTCTAAGGTAGAATAAAAATAAATAGCATAGATATAAATAAATTTTTTATCATATGCATGGAAACTTTAGTTATATTTTATAAGTAATGATCGAAATATTATTTTAAATACTCACATTTTAAATATCCTTAATGCGTCAACATATTGTATTGAGAAAATTTGATAAAATTGATTTTTTAATTTAATATATAAATTATGACAAAATTTGAAAAATCTTCATTAAATAACTGATTCTTTTTATAAATATAGTATATAAAGCATTAATATTGACAGGAAAGTTTTGATTTAAAAAATTATTTAATTATTGCAAATTTAGAAATATCTTGGAGAATTATTCTATTTTATTCTAATATTATTTATATATTTCGTATAGGTGGATAAAAGATCATGAAGGTTTTTGAGATTATGAAGACCGCATGGGAATCACATTATGATTATCAATCTGTGAGTACATTTATTCATTATTTACTATTATTTATTAAAATGTTAAAATGTTAAAATCAAATGCAAATTAGTCTGATTTAACAGTTTTTTTTTATGTTAAATTGTTAAATGTAAACATTTATGTTTTTTATTTCTTTTTAAGTACTTGTTTTATAATTATTTATTTAATAATTATAATTTTTATAAATATGCTTGCATTTATGCAAAGATATTAATTGGAAACATGATTTTTTTATGAGTAAATGTAAGTAAAATTGAAATGTTAAAACATATTTTATGTCTATTGCATTTTATTTTCTATGCTTATTATTGTAATGTATTTAGTTATTTATTATTTTTACTTATTATTTTTTTGAACGAGGAAACTTTTATTTAAGACTCGACTTTTTCAAAGAGTTATATCGATTTTATAACATCATAGGAGAGAAATTACTGCACGTTATTTCTCACCTATAACATCGTAAATTATACGCATCTAATATGGTTGCGGCGAAAGAGCCAAACCTTAATATTTATTATCAAAATAATAAAAATCCAATAATTATAATTCAATTTATTATTAATTTTTTAAATATGATAGAATTAAAAATATTAGAAATAATATTATTTAATGACTTTTTATATTTTGTAGCAATTATATACTATAGTCATCAGTTATTTGAGAATGAAAAATAAACGATAAAAAAAAATGATTTTTCTTAAAAAAATAATATCCTTATCCTACGTATCTTTCATATTTTGACTTGTATTTGAAGTTGCTATTAAACTTGCTCTCTAGCATATTAATTATATTACATCAGCAAGACAGAATATAGAACCGATGATAATTTTGGTATTATTATTGTTTATATAATATAACAGGTAGTCATTTTGTCACGAGGGATTGCTTAGAAACAATATTCTTATTTATTTATCACACACCAATATACAAAAATGAACTGTATAATCAATATCAGAATATAATATACTACGAAATTCAAATATATTTAATAAAGATATATCTGAGTATCTTACAAGATTAGAATGATGCTTCAACTTGAAACAAAAAAAAATCATCTACAACATTCTTTGCAGTTGGCACAGAAATTCTGGTAGAAAAACGTATTTCTACGGTCCGTCCTAAGGATTATAAATAAGTATTAATTTACGGGAATCCTTAGTTTCTAACAAGTCGCATCTAAGTAGTTGTGAGTGAAAATAAGGTGCCGAGTTTTTCTCTTTCCTAACTTTTTCCTAACTAATCCCATTTGCATACGAATTGGGAGCCGTGAAAGATGCTTCGTTCGTTACGTTCGTTCGCTTTTAAAGTGGTGCAACCCCGAGGGGGTTGCGTTGGTGCGTCCGCACATCTTGTATCTGTTGAAACGCATGCTATCGATTTCGGCCGCCCCCTCGCATAATAATTACACTATTATTATGTTATTCGTGCGTTATTTTATTTAGATCGATCGTCACAATACCAAATCTTTTCTAGCGTGCATTGATGTTTCGGTGTATCGGAGTGATATTTATACTCGTGAAATTTCTTCCTGTCGTACAAACTGCTAAGATAAAAAGACACAGGTGTAACAAAGGTCACGCTGTTGATCACTCACAACGGATATTCCCTGGATTTATGTGCTATATTATCAATGAAGGATTGCGTTTATATTTGCAAAATATGGCGGGTAAATGTGAAATTATCAGTCAGCGAATACAGAATGTATCGGAGACGCCAGATTGAAAGGTTTCTTATTGGAATGCGTTTTAACATTTACAAAACTGTCTTACGCTTTTGTGTTGTGTAGAGGCGGCTCCGCTGTGAGGGCCAAGCTACGCAAAAAGTTATACAAGTCTCGTACGAGTATTCTTGTGAGTGATTGCTTGTGTCAGAAATCTTCGTTAAGGATCACACGTATTCAAGAGCTTGTGTAAATATAATGTGAATGTAAGGGGGTAAGATCCTCACCCTTGCATGAATAATGTCACATAAATCACGGCAGTAGAGCGGTGTGACTCTTAGCTAAAGGGCTTCGCCAGTCTCTTAGAGCCGCCTCTGACACTATGAGAAAGATCACGCGAGTCTTCATGGCATGATTCTTCGATCTTACGAGCGACAGGCCGGTCTCTCAAAAAACTGTACGATCACTCCCTAATACTTCATCTCTATGAAAAAACATGGAATGTATAGTGTATTTTTTTTTTATCAGTTTACACCTTAGTAATGTGTGTACGATTATATCACAAGAAAGATTCAAATATTCTGTACATAATCCTCGCGACGATGCGAGGCGCCCTGATATCAAGGTCGCCTCTTTCTTCTCCTCTCTTCCACTTCGCCCTCTCTTTTCCCGCTTCATTTTTTAAACTTACATTTTATATATTTATATATATATATATATATATATTATATATATATATATATAT